CAGTGTAATCAGTGAGGGGATTCTACAGACTGTTGAGGGTTCAGCCTCCTGATGAGTCGGTGAAACTCCGACGAAACAGTTTGTCACAGCCCCTCGTTTGTTGTCCTCTTCTCCCTCTCTGCCTACGGTCTACCGGGCAGTTCTATTTGACGATATATATATGACGATATATATATTGACATTAGTATATTGTCTAATTTCATAGTAGATTGAATTTTATGTAACTTATTAATCAAACTTTCAAAGTCAATAAATAGCAATTATAATTCATAAAGATTAAAGAAGTGACCGCAGCAGAGTTATTTTTCCGTAGAGCTTCCTCTACGGCATTGTTACCAAGGTATAGTTTCACCTCCAAGTTTGGGATGGATTGGTGTGGTTCCAGTGCGCCTAAGATACCAGGATATCAACAGATGGCCTCTTATTATTTTGCCCTCTTCCACGCCTTCTTCCACGAGCGCTCATCCGCTCCTTTCTTCTGTGAGTTCTCATCTGCCCTCTCTACTGCTCCCTTCTCGCTTCCTCTTCTGCTCCATCTTCGGCTCCCTCTTGTACGGAAACAAAGTTGTTCATTGGCCAAATTGCTTGCAGATGAGTGATTTACATTCTCAAGGATTGTTGCCTTTTATTCCTGCACAGTTTTGATCCGGCTTGCGCTCAAGTGTCGCTTGTTTTTTTTTGTTGTTTGTGTTCTGATGTGTGACTCAAAAGAAACGAGAGAGGTCGGGAGGTAAGTAGGGGAGGAGGGAAGGCAGGGTGGGCTTGAGAATGTAAGAAAACATTGCCCTCGTTGCTTGCATACGATTGATTCATTTTTTCAAGGATTGTTAACTTTCCTTCCTGTACAGGCGGTCTTGGCTTTGCTCCTGGGTGCACTTAAGTGGAGACTCTGTTCTTGCTCTGTTTGTGTTCGGTTCTGGTTATGTGGGCGATTTAGGAATGGCTAAGTCGCGCAACCAACTGGGCAAAATTCAGTGCAACGGCAGGACTGGGGGTTATTCATCGTGGTCATCTTCAGCAAGGTCGGTCATTAATGGCACCATATCTCCCTCAGAATGGAGGGAGCCGAAGTCCTTACTCCGAAGGTGGTGCCCTCTATGCGCTTGGCCTGATTCATGCAAACCATGGTGAGGGCATCAAGCAGTTCCTTTTGGAGAGCTTGCGAAATGCGGGGAGCACAAATAATGAGGTGGGCAATCTGTTTTCCAGCTTTTCTCTCCTCTCTGGCATTCTCGGAGAATAAGCTCTTAATACTAGTTAATAGCTGTGATCCTTCTGCCGAATGTTTCGTTAGTCGCTCTGTTATGGTGTGCTTAACGCTCTGTTATGGTGTGCTCTTGCTCTGGGTTCACTGCAGTGTTATTTTTCAGTTTTCACGCTAGGACTCCGTTTTGCTCTTTATGCTTGTGGGGAAGGCAGACCATTTAAAAGTGAACGTGCAAACATATTGCACGAAAATGAGCAATAGGGAAATACAGAATTCCAGATTGCAGAATCACAATGAAATCCAGATAGTCGAAAGCTGTCCAGAAAGCAGAAATTCGATGATGCCACACCGAAGGAGAACCAAAGCAGTGAACTCAGTTGTCAATGAAAGCGTAATCTTGCCACTACCAACGATGCAATCGAAGCTATTCCTCCTATTGGCGCTCAGCGCCCAGACTACTATCCTACAGCTATGCTACCAGCTTACGAAATGTCGAAGCAACCAGTTGATGTCAGCAGCAGAAGTGCCCAAACCCGTCATGTCTGTGGAGTTAGGTATCTGAGATCCCCTGGGCACCAAGTGAGGGATGAGGGCCCTACCAGCTGATTGTAATATTGCCTCATGCAACCACCTGGTAGGGACTATGGTATGAAACTAACTAGTGCAAAACAATGATGGATGGCAAATGAATGGTGCCAGTCTCTCTTGTTTGGCGGTGAGACAGCAAGGACCGCAGTGGCATCCTCTTATCTGTCTCCACTGTTTTTTGGTTGGAAAGGTGAAATACATAAGAACCGTCTGTTAGTGTATGCGCTATCGCATGGTTCAGCAACGTGTGAAGCCATCTTTTCCTTAAGAAAAGCGATTACCTCTTCCTTCGTCCATCCTGCATCATTCCATGGAGTGTGCGGAATCGTATAAATCCTTGCCGGCTTGGTTGTCATTAGCTCAGAGCCTATCAATGCAAAACAAAAATAAAAACAAATCAACGGTAGGCTGAAAGACTGTGATTACTGTTGGAAGTTTTGGAACATATTTACACACGTCTGATAGCAAATCAACAGTAGGCAAAAAGAAAGGCTCAAAGAGTGTGATTACTGTTGGAAGTTTTCGAACATATTTACACACTTCTGACAGGTGCAATAGAGTGTATCAAAGTCTTGCATCCTTTCAAAAAATGAAGAGCCATTATAGGTGATAGTACTGTGATACTATAATAGCATCTTTGAAGCAAAAATCGTACAAAAGGGTCGCAACGCTCAGAATGCGGTTAAAGCTATTGTCATAGAACCGTAGAAACAAATAAAAAGCCACCAAATACTGAAAGATGGCAGCTATTTACAACTTGATAGAAGTGCTGTTGTTTTAATCATTCATGGTTTGCGGACTGGTAATTATTATAATCTGAATACTCATAAGTCCAATACCATTGATGTCCAATCACTTTGATAGTAATTGCAGGATCTACTACCTCATCCATGGAATATAATAGAGCAAATGATGGTATTGAGATGCAGGAGAGAGAATGCTTGTTGAATTAAATTAATGCAGGATATCCAACCAGTCCGTGTTTCGAAATGTAGGTTATGCGACAAGTCTGCGCCTGGCAGCCGAAGTATGAGGGAGATAAGAAAATAAAGGGGTTGTGATGCAGCCAGGAGGGTTTCTTGTTAGGTTTCGCTTTATTGAATGGAGTCAACATTGTGCATGCCTGTACATTTCGCCCAAAGTGTTTAGTAAATGGCAACAAGGATTGTGACACCGCCATACGGGTTTCTTAATAGTCTTGGTTCCATTTGAACGCAGGTTATACAACATGGTGGTTGTCTGGGCCTAGGACTTGCAGCCCTTGGTACTGCGGATGACGAGATCTACGAGGACATAAAGCAAGTGTTGTACACAGACAGTGCAGTTGCTGGGGAGGGCGCAGGTATTGCTATGGGTCTGCTGATGGTGGGAACAGCGAGTGAGAAGGCGGGTGAGATGCTGGCGTACGCGCATGATACAACACACGAGAAAATCATCCGGTGAGAAGATTCTCGCAACATAGAATCACCCATTATGCACTGGTTTGCTGTCCCAACATTGAATTACCCATTAGGCACTGGTGTGCTGCCGATCATCGGACGGGTCCTGCTGCCCATTGTCGGATGGGTCCTGACCCCAATTTGCCGACCAATAGACCCGTTTGCAGGTAACTGTTTGTCGGCTGTTGGGTTCTGGCCACCCAGTCACGGAACAGTCCTGTGCAACGTGCATCCCCGGACTGCGAATCCGGGGGCTTTTCTTTTGCCAACGTATATTGTATATCCTCACGTATATGAAGAGACGTTGGTGATCATTGCCTCCAAGTTGCGGGGAATGACATTATAGTAAGAAAAATGGACTGCTTTCTTGACTTTAATTAACAGCAAAACAACAATAATTGTGTTTGAATTTCAATATTGTTGTTTGTTTCTTTGATAGATTACTGACAGGATGACCATCAGCAGTCCCCTCACTGGTTACCCCTGACCTACCAATTGTCTACCTATCAGCAGGGAACATTCATCGGCCTGTGATTTTCCACAGACTGCCCACCCTCTTGTGCTCCTACTCATTGATGTTCTTCATCCTGTTCCTCCTCGCGGTTGTCACGTATGCTGCCACATGGCCACTGATAATAATTTCACCCAAGTTTCTTTTGATTCCACCATTTCTCCCGCATTCTGTCAATGTCTCTCGCCAGTACCCGCACTTCCAACTTCCTCCCTCGTACCTTTTCATTGGTGCCCGGTCCTCTGCCCCTTCGGCCAACATTCCCGAACCGAAGTAAGGAATTGTGGCTGGAAATGCCGATTCTCACCCACAATAGAAAATCTCCACATTGCCCTGCGGCCATTTTCCCAACAGCCCGCAGGTGGGCAAAATCCAATCAGTCAGAAAATAACTGTGATGCAGGTGGCCTGAACTTTTATTTGCTGACATGTTGTGGTCAGATCACGGCGGTCAGGGTTGTTCGTGTTGGTGAGTGGTGTAGATGCGCTTGTATATTCTGTACATATGGGACATTGAAAAAAGTGACAGACCATTTCCTGCTGGGGCAACAAGGATTGCCATGTTGAGTGGGTTGGGGAGTAGAGGGGAACGCCACCCTTTGCTCTGGGTTTTGGGCAAGGAGTGCATTTAGGGCACAGTTTTGGTCCTTGCTCACTTTCTTGCAGAATGATAATGGGAATGCTGAGTGTTGTGTTCCAACGGGGACGTTGTTTTGGATCCACATGGCTTTGCATTCTTTGTGTCCATGACACCTCTTACACCCCGTCCACTCCTGTTTTCACATTTTGCATGAGGCAAAAGATGGTCAGTTCTGTATGGCAAAGGTGGCCGTCTCGCTATATACCAACCTACACAAACCAGCCAATGAGAACTGAAAGTTTTAGAAAGGCACAGAGAGAACCATCCATGAATAAACCAGAGTGGCAGCAGATTGACAAGGGCCAAAAGAAGACATTGACACAACAAATCTGTTGAGGAGAAAGCCTGACTTCTTGCCTCCAACCATCAGTCCAAGAACTGTGCAGCAGGATTCATCTGTGGAGTTCTCATAGCAAGCCATCATCCATGAATAAACCAGGGTGAAAGCAGATTGACAAAGGCCGAGAGCACAGCAAAGCTTGCGGACAGTAAATGCTGAAGTCTCTTTAGGTGAAAGCCTACCCTCTATCCTCCAACTGTTCAGCAGTGGGAGGTCGCAGTAGTGTCGTGGTGTTGGCCGTGGAGAACATAAGCAATCGGACTCTTTAGCGGCATGTGGCCAGA